TTTAAACTTCCTTCCATTACAACTTGAAACATGTTTGGCTGCAGTGGAGGATTTCTAATGGAGCTAAAGGACTGTGAGTGTTATCTGAGCAAGACAGAGCATGGCAGAATGAAGTGGTCTTGAGCAAGGCTTAATACAAGTCTTTTGGGTAGAGCTGCAGTAGGACAGAGAATGATGGCTGCTGGGTGTACTTCTGTTTGCAGAATTACACGTATCAAAGAGGGAAATAAGAAAATGTTTTTATTCCTTATTTTTGATGCATAAACTTCTGGGGACGGGCTTATAACACCCTCACTAACTCAAAACCATACAACAGCTGGCTGATTCTCCACAAGGGGGAAGTGTTTGGTCATTGTCAGACAAGCCATCATGCTGACCTGCAACACCCTTTGGAAAGGAAAATAATAGCAGCAACAGTTAAAGCCTTCAGGTGTAGATATGTTGACGTCTGTTCTCAGTCTTTTATTGGTTTGTGACCTTTTATAGCCAAGAAATAAGAGTGTTTCTCGCCACCGTTTATATGCGCATCCTCAATTCGTGCATAAAAGCTTGTGTGGATACTAAATTAAAAAAATATAGTTCTTACACTTGGCTGAGGTGGAGATGTTGTTGTATCTCCACCTCAACTTAAATCCTATGTGGATCGATGTGGAGATTGTAATTTTTGTCAAATTAATCCATTAAACAAAAGTAAATGCACTATTACAGTCATATTTTCCACAATATTTACAGAATCTTGTTGCAACCTCTTCTTGTTCAATGGTTTTGTAAGTTTTCTCTGCTGCCGAAAGTGGTTTCTCTTTGGAAGCGGTGGTGGTGACTGTCGCTTGACAAGAGCTTCATCCATCGCTGTGTTTACAAGACAAGAGGTTATAACAGACTGATGAGTTGGCCAGCTGGTTAGCATACTAACTTTAGCAGAAGAAAAGACCTGAAGGAGACAAGAATTAACACTGGTGTTGCTTTCCACCACTGGGGACAGCTCTTGGTCAGTAAAGGAATGAAGTTTGACACTGAACTCACAACAATACTTCTAAACTGGTACAGTAAACAGCTGTTAATGCTACCTAGCTAGCTAACATTAGCTATGTATTGTATAATTAACAATATTGTGTCAAACTAAATGAACAACTAATGAATATTGAATACTAAAAAAGATGGTGTAAAGCATCAAATTTTGCAGGATATTAATTTATCATTTATTTCCTTTTCTAAATATACTGTAAAGAAATTCAACATTTCTTCCGATCAACAATAGCTCCATGTGCCATCTGCATCTGTAATATATTTTCTTTTCTGGAGACAGATAGAATTAAGGACTCCCATTTCTCTGTGAAGTTACCAAGAGTACAGTCATTGAAAACAGAGGGCAGACAATAACGTCATTCATCAGCTCCCTACAAGCCACAAAGTGTCAGGAGTTGTGGGAAAATTAGCACACAGGAAATTCCATCAGGGATTTTCTGGAGATTTCACCATGTGACTTTTACTTTCTCTCCCTCACCAGCTTTCCACTGAGAAGGTGGTGGGGGGGGGGCACAGATTCACAGTTTCCCTGAACACAGTGAGTAATAGTGTTGCATGATTAGTCTCACAGACAGACACATTCTTGTCCACTGACATCCCACACATGTGCACAAATGTACAACCAAGCGCACAAACTCAGGAACACACACACTGAAAAGCACCAAGACTGTGGACTGTGGTGTGTTGCAAATTGATTCAGTCTCATTTTCAGCCTTCAAGGCTAATTTTCTCTAAACAAGAAGAAATCTGCCTGTGGGGTGAGAAATTTGTGCCTGTGTGGTTTCTCTCGTTTCAGGAATATTAAAATTGAGTGTTATTATCTTAAGTCAAGACCAAATGTCATCTGACTGTACATTTACATTTCCTATACATTTAATGTAAATACTTACTATATGTTTGTACATACACCACAGACAGACATTTTAAAACCAGTTTCCCACACATCTCCTGCTATATTATTATAAATATTGGCTAATTTGAGAAAGCAAAATGCATTCTGGGGGAAACAATCTTTAAACATATCAGATACATTGTTTGCAAAACATTGGCACCTGTGAATTCAAGTGTGGGTAAAATCACTTGGTTAATTTTATGGAAACAACATGTTAATGGCATTATGGTTAATGAAGGTTTAACCTGCATTGATTAATAGTTTGGCCTCCTGGGGGCAGATTCACCAACCTGTCAGCCCCCACACCTTCCACATTAGTTGTTATTGGCTAACATGTTAGCAAACACTTGCCTATGTTCACATTCAATAGACACAGAGCAACATTGGCATTTGTTTCTATCCATGTGACAAACGTAATATTGACTCTCCTTTTAGCTCTGTTTTGGTCTCCTCCAACTCCAGAAGGAAATATCTGTCATTTTAGCTGCTTAATGTTCCTCTATGTTCATCAGATAGATGCTAAATGTGTCTGCCTGGTGTTAGGTAATGTGGAGGGGGGGGGTTGTTGGAGCTTTTTTCACAATTAAATCTAAAATTAAACCTGAAATTAATCTAAGCCTTAATTGCTATTTTGGAATCACTGCAAATGAATGTAATTCATAGGAAACAGCTGCTGTTTGGGAGTGGTTTGAACCTATTTGAAAACAGCAGACTGCACCTCAGAATATCAAACCTTTATTAACGATGACACACTTGAATTGATATCGCTCCGGTAGATATTGACCCATGCACAATGAAATAGTCATAGTTTACTCAGGGCGGTTGATGTGATTTAACTGACTCATAAGATCCACATGAAAGTGTCACACTCAATTATCTTAAAGACATTTAGAGATATCACACTTTTTTTTAATAATTTTATTGCTTTGTTTCAAACCTTTATTTGTCAAAGGAAGGTGAACTGAGCATCTTTGCCCTTTTCCTATTCTACATCACACTCATTAAGTTCCACACAGTAACTCCCAGAAACTCCCCATTATGACCACCGTCTACTGCTCCTGGCTGTTTATGAGCTCCATGAGAGCAGTTGCGGTTGAGGAGGCTGACATGATGGTACCTCAGCGTCTCTCCAGGGAGAGGAAACAAATATTAACTTTCCCTGCACAGATTTTCCCAGCTGTTCTGGGGAGTTGAACCAGGACCCCCTGTCACAGTCTTGTCTGGAAGGACAGCTTGTCTTGGCAGCTCTAAAGACAGAGTGGCCAGCAGTGCTGGAACAATTTGCAATGTCTTTCACTTTCTTTGACAGCACTTGGAGTTAATAAGGAATACAAATATGATTTAGTTGATCAATTGAACAATTATAACAGTCACTTATCTGAGAGCCAAAACCCTTAGTTAAGAATTTGAGTACCTACAGTTACAGTTACTGTATTTTTCAATATTCAAAGGGGAGGTCTTTGGTACATAGATGTTCCCCTCCTTATATGGTAAGTTACATTTTAGCTAGAAGGTTGCTGACACATAGTGAAAGTCACAAAAATATGATCCCTTAATTTTGGTGTAGTCGGTTTCTAATCTGTGAACCTTATAACCAGTGGTTTTGTTGCCCTAATTTTGAAGTGACCTGAATGAAATTGAACTTACGCTCAAGTGTGAATGGTTAGAAACAGCTGGTTATGGATGGTGATGCAGTGAACATAGTGATGATGTTATCTTTCCAGTTCACCCCAAAGGTGTCCAATAAGGTTGAGGTCAGGGTTCTGTGCAGGCTAGTCAAGTTCACATTCACAAAACTTACTAATAGCTCCTTTAGTCCATACAAAGTGTGAAAATGACAATTAGCTGTTTTTTTGAGGGGTTATGTGCCAGACTATTTCCTGGTCAGGACCTCCTTTATGGTGTCTGTGTGCAGTTTATCTTTCTGTTGTGAAAATGTTTAAATATTGAGTTTCAAATTATGTTGCTATTGTTACTGTTTGTGGCCATGCGGAGTCTCCAATATGTGAAGTAGCCCAATTTACTGTGGCTGCTACGCCGCTGAAAACCTCTTTCATTTAAACACCAGAAATTTTATTTCTTAATCCTCAAGTCACAGATTTGTCTGAGAGGGCTATACAGTCTCTACAACAGATGACACCCAATCTGTAAACTCTGACTTGGACTTGAAGACGAAAAACTCTTGTGAATTTCCATGCATGACAATGAAAGCATGGATTTTTATTCTGTGTGACCCCCAACTGTGTATCAAATCCTCAGCCTTGGCAGAAGTGCAGCCATCTCTATTTAACAGTGTGTTACTGTACATAAATTCAATGCAGTATTTAACACAGTGTAATGAAATCATTCAAGTTATGAAAGTCTGGGGTGCAAAGGTGCTGGCAGACTATAATTTCAGTATGTATGTGCCAACATGAAGCTAAATTACACTGTGTGTCACTGGCAGAGGCCTGGAAGAGCTGAAAGGCGTTTCAACCCCTCTCCAAAACCCATTACTCAGGTACGAATTTCCTGAATGAAACAGACAGCTGAGTCTGGGTAATGGGCTTCAGATGAAAATTTCTCATCACTGTGAGATGAATTGCTGCGGATTAAAGTGTTGTTGAGGGGTTGAAAAGATGCAACCTGGGGCCCGCTCGCTACAGTTCATCAGCTCCCAACAGAGAGATAGATAGATAGATAGATAGTGTGAGAGAGAGAGAGAGAGAGAGAGAGAGAGAGAGAGAGAGTTGTGTGCCTTCTAAACAGCAGGATCAATTATCTGATTAGATGCCTTTGTTGTCTAAAATCCTATTATTATTATTATTATTATTATTAAAGCTAATTAAAGCTTACGTCATACTCCTTTTTTGGCAAAAATAATAAGTGGTGGAGACAGGTGAAATGATAAAACACTATTAAATATTCTAATTGTTTTTCATTTAATTCGACAGTAAACGTTATGACTCAGGGGAATATTTCACTGTCCTTCCAAGAAATTACTGGAAATTTCAATTTCGGACTGTGTTATCAAACGGAAGTACGCACACACACAGACACACAGACACACACACACATATATATACACACACACACACACACACGGACACACAACTTCAGCCCTTCAACTTGAAGTTTCACTCTAAACTTTACGTTCAGCGCGGACCAGTCCCTCCGTTCAGCAGCATGGCTCTGTCAAACAAGTGGTGGCTTCTGTGCGCCGTTTCGCTCTCCTGTGTCGCCCGTTTGGGGTCTTGCAGAGGACATAGACAAGGTAAGATGAATAAATAATAAATGTGCGGGCAGATTATTATTTTAACTGTTTTCACGGCTCGACTGCTCTGTTTTGCTTCCACAGTAGGGCAAAGTTTTCCTCCGAAACTCGTGCGTAAAATTGAACCGAATCCAAACGTTGTACACACATTCACACTATTATACGTTCTAGCTTGAGTTTAATGTTTTTTGAAAGTTGCATTTAGTGTGTCAACCAATAGTGTGGGTTATTTTCGCTGTGATATGTATTCAACTCCCTTTCAAGCGGAATAATTGCTCTTCAGGGAGACTCGTTAAACTAAAACTCGTAAAAATAACAAAGTGGCAACTGTATATTGCAGTTTTGCGCAGGAGGTGATAATAATGTGTAACATCCCTCGGACTAATAATACAAGCTCTCATACTTTAATCAGTGCTTTTACTGAAATCCCTCTCTTGTGTCAACACCGCAGCCGCTGCACTACTTAGTTTGTTTTGTTGTGTTGGAGGCCGCTCAAGTCCTTATTACTGTGGGGGGGAGATGTGGCGTCATCCAGTGCCAAAGTCCAGATCGACAGCAGTTCTCGTACCGGCCACGACCCACACCTGAACCGCCTGGCACTTCCTCCTGTCTTGTCATGTAGTAACCACAGTCTGCAGGCGGTAATGAGGCTGCTGGGATTGGGTGTCACATACCCAGCAAGCTACAAAGGTCTCAGTGGAGGCAGGCCTGGTCCAAAGTGGAGGAGAAGCAGTAATACTCCTCTTCCCTTCCTACATCCCTGAGAGCAAACACTAAGCTGGACTAATGAAAGCTATGCAGCTAAGAGGAAAGTACAGAAAGGTCCTTCTAAAAGTGTTAGGTCATATATTGGCTTCAGGCGGAGGAGAGGTCTGCTGATGAACTGCAACTTTCACTGTATGCCTTTAGGGTCAGTGTGTTTCTTCTCTTATCTCTCAGCCGGGTTTGTGCATCATTCGCCAGTATGGAAGGAGCATTTACAGTCTATGAGCAGAACTTAAGTCTAGAAACGCTCTTATGGAGACAAAATGTGACACATTGTTGTCTCTAAAAACATTTTACAAATAATTCCTGTAAACATTGTTATCAAAGCTGATGTAGATCGGATATATAATAGACTGTTCCCAGTGTCAAAACCTTTTCCTAAAATACAGTAGACGTGGCAGCCTTGTAATATATATTTCCACAGTCCAGAAACCAATCACTATTACTGGCATATATCATTATATTATATGAATAATCAATATACCACAAAATAACTGCCACAGAGAGCCTGGGCCATATATAAAAGCATTTGTTATTTTCTCTGTGTCAGTAAGTAATTTGATCTTACTTTGAAAGATACTCTTCTCTTGAGCTGATAACATGACTGGACTCATATCTTTATATTTTGCCTCAGGCTCAAGCCACAGTCAAAAAACAACAGGCAGATATTTGGGGGGCTGAGGTAATGTTAGGCCTGAGGGGCTGAGGAGTGGCTGTATTTTGTTGGTACTGTGTTCCAGGCCAAGGGTAATTTCTTAGAATTAAAATATTAAAGGTTATGGGACATCCAGTCTTTTGCATTGTAATTAAAAGTTGTATCTCACTTAGCTGCCAACTTAAAGAAACTTAGCTTTGTTCAAGTAGTTCACGTTACACTTTTTCCTATTCATCGTTTTGTCATTGGCAACAAATAAACTATGAACATTTTAACCCAACCCATATCGATATTTTGGAGTTTTAAAAATTCAAAAATGACATATTTGCTAATAGTAATATGTTTACATGTTGAAACACAACATGAAAAAACATTCTTGATATGGATTCATTATTTGTTTTTTAATGATGCATGCTAAGCAGAACATAAGCTTGAAACAAAGCAGTGCTCTCTGGTGGAGATGCTATGTAATGCAGACACTACTTCGAAATTACTTAAAACCTCATTTTGCACTTTCTTGCTACTGATTGGCCAATAAGATTGGCTGATGTACCTGTCAGTCTAGCTCTATTGAGAACAGTTATTAGTTACAGGCTTACCTTCGGTCAGATTTTGGTTCTGTATCTTGAATAACATGAGAGTTGGGCTCACTGGTCACTTTACTCAAAAGCTGATGAGAGGATTGGCAGCTTCCTATTGGTTCTGTCCATTGAACACTTCAGTTACACTTTAGTTTCCAGCAGAAAATCCAACTGGACAGGACGTTATTATCCTTTGATGAAACAGATAAATATACTTTTCCTGCACCTCGAAATAACGGTAATATCACATGGTGCTAGCATAAAGCTATTGTGTTGTCAGAGCAAACAGCACATGGCAGAACATGTTGTATCTTGTCTGAATATATTTGAATTTGAATGTATCTGAGGTTTATTCTTTAAAGAATCTAATATTTTCATACCGTCTCCTCAAACAAGCGTTTAACATCTTTTGCATGTGAATAAGATTTCCCACAATCCATCAACTGACATTTATTGATGGTTGAACATTTGCAAACATCACACGTTCATCGTTTTAACCTTAAAGCACACGAGGACAAATGTGCTGAGTGCTTAAATATACCAAAGAAAAATTGAGCCTGCAGGCGGTATTACAAAAACACATTAACATTTTGCAATTATATTTGTCACCCATCAGAGATAAGAGAAAACAAGCTTTAGATAAATACAGAGAGGCAGTTTGGCCCATTTACACTCCACTGGCCTTCAAGAAGGTTTTGCACATAGAGGAGCATTAGTTTTTATTATTTGCATATCATTTAGGTGAAACAATAAGGGCCTCACTGAGTCTCTTTGAAACTTAACATCAGTATCATTGGTGCACAGCTCTGGTTGCTTCACTAATCGTCTCGTGGAGGCGTAAACATTGTGTCTCATTAATTTGTGGAGAAATTTAATTAGATGCTCACTCGCTGTTTGAAGTAGTCCTTTTATTAGGGAGCCTCGGGCCATAGAGAGAGAGGAGTCTGTGTAGCATGTGCCGTCTTAATTAGCATTTGCAGTACGGGGTAGACTTCAGAAAAGTACTGACCTAAACTGTCACTAAAAACCATTTCACCATTAGATGAATACACCTATAACTGTAAAGTGTAGACACTTCTCTGCCTTGACACTTATTAGGTGTAGCCTAATGTTTTCTGGACTTACCAGCATACATACTTTTTGTTTTGTTTTTTTAAACAAGAAAATGTCTGTTTGGTCTCAACATGAATCTGACCTACAAGCAATTTCACTGCAGCAAAAGCAGCACCTCTGTCAAGGAGCCACTGCAGCACTATAATACAGATACTTAATGAACAAAAACTGCATGTCATTTTCCCTGAATGATGCAAATCAAAATATTCTGTCTGTTCTCTGTTTGCACATGCATGCATCCACCCCCACTTTGTATTAGTGTTCAGTCTCTGCCTTTGGTCCTATTGGTTTTAATTAATACTTTTTTTTATACATTCTGATATTTAGTTTGATGTGCCAACACATTTAATTATTTTACGTTGTCGTTTTTCTATGACTGACTACTAAAAATCTATTTAACGGTAACCGCAGACTTGACAGTTCACTTGGACTCATCTGCTGTGGGACTTGACTTCTTGAAGACTCGTCTTGAGACTTGACTGGAGACTTGACTAATTTGTGACAGTTCAAGGGTACTTGATGTGAAAAAACTTGACAACCACTGCTCTATAGCTTCAAAATATTTATACAGATCAATATTTTTGTACAAATTATTAAATTATTCTAACATAATTCTTTTTGTTAACTGAACTAATACTATCCATTTCATTAGGGTAGTTGTAATGTGAGCTACTGTTTGTCAACTTAACTGAACTGAATTACAGTTTTTTATAATTGCTAACTGAGATTTCTTGATACTACAATAAGTTTGCTTTGCCAAAACTCCCCACGCAGTCAGCACCACAGTCAGTGTGAACCAGCTTCTTTCTTCTTCTGGTTTTCTGAATACTGTAATCGATAGTGTTACTGCGCCTATTGTAAAGCCACCTGTTGTTAGAGTCTGTGTGCATGTGAATGACAAAGTTTTCTTGTTGGAAGACGAATGCTGACAGTGTTCTGCTGCAAGAGTTGATTTTGAAATATGAATGACTTGTGTTTGTTGCATTAGTGCATTTCGGATTGTGAGATTCACTGTTGTGCTGAGCTGTGAAGAAAACTGGGAGTTTTACTGAAGTGAACTCATTAGAGAAATGTGATTGAGCAATTGTGCAAAACTGTAAAGACAGACAAACTTGAAATTTAATTTTATTTATATTTATATTGACAAGGGCTGCCTGTTGTGTTTATTTTACTTCCACTGCACCATGCTGCTTTATCATTTCACCTTCCACTGAGCTATTGACAGGGAGGAGTTCAGATGAAAACACAGGAACAATGTTGTATAGAAACTATAACTTTACAAACAGACTAAAACTCATCTTGCTGCTTTTTGCAGTAAAGACATATATTAAAATATTTGCCTTTAGTGTTCTTATTACTTATCTATCTACCTAGAAATGAACACTGAGAGAAGCTTTGATTCATTACTTGCAGCTGGATGTTGAGTGGAGTTAGCAGAGTGGAGTGTAGAGTGGACTCGAGGACTTGAGAGTGGACATATGGAAGCCTTCTACATACTTGACAAATACTTGAAACTGCACTTGGGTTTTCCATCTAAAGAAGTGAGACTTGACTTGGATTTGAACCAAAAGACTCCAAAACAGCTCTGCATTTAATTTCTGAAAAAAAAAAAAACATTCTTATTTTCATACTTATGTTATTGTACATATGTTTCAGGTGTTTTTTGTATAATATATTATTATTATATTTCATGTTTCAGATGTTCTTTTTTAATGTTTTTTTTTTTATTTGTCATGTGCCAAGGTAAAATGTACAGTAAACAAAGCGTTGAAATGAGGGTCGGACTCGGCACCAGGGCAGACTGTGCAAAACTGCAAAAAATGCTAATGATAAATATCGCTTATGGTGGGAAACATCACAATATTCAATATTATTGAATATCGGCC